CCTGAAAAAAGGAGGAAAAATGGCTCTTGCGCAAAAGCCTCCTGCACAAAAATGGAGCCTCACTAATTATGCAAATGAGGTGTGGCGATATTCTACACTTCACCTCATTTGCATTTTTTTTGCGCAAGAGGGGGCAATCTAGACATAGTCCTACTGTTTAAGGACTTCTTGATAACACTGTTGTTCCATGATTCTAACCTCTTTGTAAAAAACAAACAAATCCACGTTTTGACCAGCCCCAACATATATATTAGTAGGAGATTTTCCCAACATTGCTCAGGTCCTTACCTCAATTAATTTTTGTTTTTTGGAAAATAAAATGAAAATGTACATGCTGTATTTAAATTATAGCTTTAGAGTGGGACTAGGATTTGCAGGCTGTCCAGAGGAGAGAGGACTATACCAGCCCTCTCTCACCACAGCAGCTTGGGGACAAGTGAAAAGTGCTTCTCCATGGCTGCGGCAGCTCCAGCGGGCCCAGCTTGGGGAGGGATACTCGTTTCCCAGCTAGGGCAGGTCCAGGCTTGTCTGCCCCTGCATTCCCCAACTAGCATGAGGAATGCAGCAAACTGCACTTTCCCTTGCTCCCTGACAAAAGAGAACAGCCAGTGATATTCCCATATGAAGGGAGGCTTCTTCCCCCCCAAAGGACATCTGGGAGAGTGGGAGGCTTGGGACTAGGGTGTTCCATGGGGTGGCACTCCCAGATAGCCTTTATCAGAAGCCTTGTGATTCTGTCTCTTTTCTGTATGGTTTTTATGAGACGCCATCCCATTCTAGGCACATCCCATTATCCTAGCACAACCAAACCCTTACTTTGTTTAAAGTTATGATAAGAGGAAACTCTATACCAAATCTGATGATCCTAGCTCTTAAACTATGTCTAGACTGCCCCCTCTTGTGCAAAAAAATATGCAAATGATGCAAAGCATGGAATTAGGCTCCATTTTTGCACAAGAGGCTTTTGCGCAAAAACCCCTCTTGTGCAAGAACCATTCCTCCTGAAAAAAGGAGGAAAAATGGCTCTTGCGCAAAAGCCTCCTGCACAAAAATGGAGCCTCACTAATTATGCAAATGAGGTGTGGCGATATTCTACACTTCACCTCATTTGCATTTTTTTTGCGCAAGAGGGGGCAATCTAGACATAGTCCTACTGTTTAAGGACTTCTTGAACAGACAGACCCTCTCAAATATATAGTAGATTCTTCAGTTGTTGATAAAGCAAAATACATACCTATTTAGGGTTACCGTATCTGACCTTCCAAAAAAGAGGACACTCCTGAGAAGGAGTGTATCTGTATCTACCAACTCACATTGTATTAATGTATTGTATATTATTATATATATTATAATATTAATTATATAATATATACATATTATCAGGGCTCGACAAACCGCAGTGAAAACCACTCGCCAGCCCCGCACTGCGCATGTGCGAACGCTGGTGAATGGGGCAACTGGCTGAAATCTACTCGCCACAGGCAAGTAGATAAGCTGATGTGTCAAGCCCTGAATATTATATATATGTTATATAACACATTAATACAAAGTGAGTTGATAGATACTGATACAGATACATTCTCTCTCAGAAGTGTCCTCTTTTTTGAAAGTTCAAGTATGGAAACCCTACATCTATGGCACTAAGAAATAATAAGTGCTAGATTTCATTTGTGGTGCTATTAAAATTAGGATGGGTAAAAACTTACATTGTGATTGTTTTAGAAATACTGCAACACAGAGCTGGTCCATTCCCACCCTTCAGTTCTACGAGTTTATGTCAGCTTTATTTGATTTTGTCTGTCTTATTTCATTGGGAGGCAGCATGAGCTAGTAGATAAAACATGGTATAGGGGAATCAGGAGTACCTAAATTATAATCTAAACTCTGTTACTGTTTCGCTGCATGGCCTTTGCCAAACCTTTTTAATTGTTTGTTTCCCTACCTGCAAAACAGGGATGTTAATACTTACATCACGGAGGTTTTGTGAGAATCAAACTGGTAGTATATGGATAATACTGTGAAGATTAAAAATGTCATTGTATAAATATTAAATATTGCTCATTATTCATTTGGAGGGGGTGGGGAGAATTAAATTCCTCATAGTTTCCATGAGGGCAGGGGACTGGACTCAATGACCTCTCGAGGTCCCTTCCAGTCCTAGTATTCTATGATTCTATGATAGTTTGTGTGACAGAACTGGTGCCTAGAGATATTTCTTCTGGTGTTATTATGGAAATTACCTGTATACTTTTGCATGTAGGAATTCTAGAATAGGTAATTGATTGGAAGGAGGAAAATAATTGCTGGGATGAACCATATGTGAACCAGAGAAAGCTACATTCCAACTTCAGCAGAGCTCTAAAGAGAAAGAATTTGAGATGAAAGCACCCAGAGAAGACCTGGTGTGGTGTGTTACTTTCTTCCAGGTGCTGCTAGCAGCAACAAGGTTCAGCTCAAGGATTGTGTGGGTCCTCTTAAGATTAACAAGCATTATCACTTCAAGTCCCCTCTCAGAAATTGGGGGAAACTAGCTATCTTTACTAGGCACTCTTAACAGGCAATAATTCCCCACTTCCAAACACGAGGAAATGTTTTACTGTATTGGAAAGAAGGAAACATAGCATTCATGTGGCAAAACACAGTTTATATATAAACTGAAACACCCCTCCTCTTTCCCCTCAAGATCTTTGGCAGTACTCCTTTAAATCCATTCTACACTCACCAGCATAAATGCCTCATACAAATGTCTCCTAAATATGTCATGGCCCTCCACCCTTCTCTGACTCTTACACCCCACTCACAGTTGGGTGTCAGTAGTGAAGCCAGGCAGACTTTTCTCCAGGCCGTAGAAGTATTTGCCTGATTCAGACTTTAGACTCCACCACTTAATGCAGCCTTTTAATGGTTGAGGATAGAAGACCATTCCATAAAGTTCACTCGTCTCCATTATTGCTCTCTATAGCTTCAACAAAGAACAACCTCAGGACTCTCTCTTCTGTATCCTGTCTTCTATTATAGGATATTTGAGCAGAGTTTTTGCCATGATGGATACATTCCCTACCACAAATTGGAATCCACTGTTCTCTCTTCTTCTGGTCACTCCCATTATGCCAGAAATACATAGTTCATGTACACTTTCAGTGAGTCCTCAAAGTATAGAGAGGATTTCTCTCTGTAATTGTATTTTTGCTGGTTCACCAACAGTTGGTAGTAGAGAGCTCCTTCCTTAGAGAACTTTCTGTCTAGTAGTGTATTTTATAAAGCAGCTCTGTTCACGAACAGATGGTGGCAGGGATCTCCATCCCCACCCTCTACAGCTTTAGCCCACAGGGTTTAAAGATATGATGCTGCCCTGAGTAACCCTGGGCTATTGAAAAGACTCATCTTTCTGTAGGAGTAGGAAAATTGCTTTGGAGTTTCTCTTTTTTTAATCTTGATCATGTAATGTTAAATCTTTGTGTTTTCTTGTTCTTTTGCACATACCAGTACAAACAAAACTCTTATTGCTTGATATTACCTGATAAGAAGGCTAAAGTAGAAAATAGCAGTCTTGTATTAACCATAGTTGTGGCCAAGACCAGCGGAAGCACTTTTGCTGATAGTCCAACCCCAGACATGCACTCCAAGGACAGAAGGAAGGGCATTGTCACTGGAATTTGCTTTCTCTACAAGACCATCAGAGATATACTTAACTTTCAGAGAACAGTACAAGTTCACCTTTTATGCTAAGACTTTGCTGCATGGATCTAAAGCCAAGTAGTGTTTTCGTCTCCTTGCTCTTCTGATTTCTGGTGGAAAAGTGATTAGTTCAAGTTTTGTTTCTTGGAGAGGATATATATTTAAATCCCTGCCACACAGAATGGCATTGCCATATGCTACTAAACAGCTGCCATTTTTCACCCCCCGAGATAAAAATGTCAGTGCTGAAGTGATCCCTGGTGTGTATTAGTTTGCATTGGGCTGTGCAGTCCTTTGAAATGGAAGTTGTTGAATAAGTGAAGATATTATCACAATGAACTATCAGGTGTATTTTAAGAGACTACATTTCTGACTTTTTAAAAAATTTAACGCAGTCAGGATTAGCACCTGAAGCATTTCTAACGGCACAGATTCAAGTTAAACAAGTAGCAATCCTCACACTGCCCTCTCAGGTGAAACAGGACTTCATTTTTAGAGGAAGGGTGTAGTTAGAGGAATGACAAAACACTGCCACCAATAGGACAACGAAAAAGCCCAGGTAGCAGCAAAGGGCAGGGACCATGGAGCGAGAAGTTAGGGAGCTACTAGCCCAGCTGGAGGCGAGATGGGCTGTTTTTGGAGGGGCATGGGAAAGTAGTGACAGAGCAACAGGGGTGGGGCTCCAGATGGGGGTGAGGAAAGGAAACCCCCCACAACCTCACTAGGGAGAAACAGGAGCTCGCAGCTGCCTGCTCCTGCAGTAGCCCTCGGGGCGTTCCATCCTCGTCTCCCCTCCAGGGAGCTACTAGCCCAGCTGGAGGCGAGATGGGCTGTTTTTGGAGGGGCATGGGAAAGTAGTGACAGAGCAACAGGGGTGGGGCTCCAGATGGGGGTGAGGAAAGGAAACCCCCCACAACCTCACTAGGGAGAAACAGGAGCTCGCAGCTGCCTGCTCCTGCAGTAGCCCTCGGGGCGTTCCATCCTCGTCTCCCCTCCACTTCCTCCTCCTATCCCCCCCCCCCCGTCCGCCTGTA